TTGAACTTCAGGAAGCTTAAAATCAAATTTGGCAGAGCTTACAAGGGCAGTGAATGTGGAGCCACTTGACTCTGGTAGCTGAGTGGTGAACTGAGATTCATGATGCTGTTTTGATTTTTTTTTTTTTTTAAACCTTGTCTGGTGTGTTACGGACAGCTTTAGGTGGAAGTTTCCACGCTGGCTCCGCCCGGTCCGGTGGCGGGGCTGAGCGATGGGTAGTGAGTCAGCCCTGCAGGTTGTGGGGATGGAAAGGAATCTGGAAATATGTCAGCATGGGAAAAGAGATTTTTTTTTTTTTTCTGTGCATCTTCTTGCATATGTTTCGTCAAACCCAGAAGTTGTAGAAATGCAGCAGGTTTTGTGCTGGCAGAGGTCAGGTAAACTGGAAACTGTCCCAAGCTGGGAAGAGGGCAGTCCCCTGCCCTTCTCCATCGCTCTGCCTTTCTGGTGGGGAGCATCTTGGGCCATGGGGAGCCAGGTCCTGGGTGTCGGGGAGCCTGGGGGGGCACGGCATGGGGAGCTCGTGCTGGAAACGGGGCCAGGGCAGCCCCCGGGCTGGCCGCTCACCCACTTGAGAAATGATGGGGTCCCATCAGACGGCCGCCGGTGTTTCAGCCTGATGGGGCTTGCCTGGGGAGGAAACCACCTTCCCTCTTGTTCTGTGCTTTAAGCTGGGCGTCCTGGCAACGACCTTCTCTGTGAAAGCAGTGCTGGTGCCAGCGATGGGCAGAAACGTGGGTGTGGGGAAACTAAATTAAATTACGTGGAAATGTGTGTGTCTCCAGCCAATAACCCCTGTGCCTGGATGAGGCTCAACGCGGCTGCGGCTGAGCACGGGCCCTTCTCTTGCAGTGGAACCTGGTGTGTGAGGATGACTGGAAAGCCCCGCTGACCACCTCCCTCTTCTACGTGGGGGTCCTCATCGGCTCCTTCATCTCGGGGCAGCTCTCGGACAGGTAACGCTGCTGCTCCCAGTCCGCCCGTGGGCAGAGCAGGGCAGACCCGGTGCCACGACTGGTGCCTTTGCTCTTAAGATGCTTAAGGGAGTTAAATGTCCAGTTCTCTGAGTTTTGATCAAAATGAGGTAACTGGCCTGGCTTCTTCAAAACTCCCACCCGTGATCTAGGCGTAGGATTCCTGCCTCTGGGTGCTGTAGGACACCAAGAGCTTTGCAGATTGATGTGGTGGTTTTCACTGCACGACCACATCTGTTTCTTTATCTAGTCTTTCTAGTATTTCAAAAGATCTTGTTCTGTGTCACATATTAACTGACAGTCCATTCTTGGAGCTGCAGGATAGAAATTTGTCCTGTGAATGGAAGCTCTGCGTAGAAGAGGTGGTTTGCTGGAAATAAAGAAAGCATATCCAAGAGAAAGAAAGGTAACCTGTAAATGAATAGCAATCATGTCATACCATCTAAGTAGATGTAAAATATCAGGAAAACATTCCAGGTACTTGACAACTATCTCAGCAGTATTGAAGTTTTGGCCTTACATGTGTCAAAGGCAGAATATATGTTCCTTCTGCGAGTCTCTGCTTCCCTCTTCACACACCCCGTAGCCCTTCTTGCCGTATCATTATGGGGGGGTCTCCAATACTGCTTTGCTTGCTGCCTGTTAATGAGGAAGTCTTAAGAGCAGCAGCACTCCTCTGGATGCTTAGCAGAGGGGTTTCAAAACTCGATGTGAGTCTTAATCCTAAAGCCTCCAGCATTAAATTCCATGTGATCTGAATTTAATCTCCTGACTCCTGCCCCCGGCGCAGAAGTCAGTCGGTGTTACTGTTTGAAAGGGAGATGAGATAATCGCTAAATTCCGCTGGTGCCATGTGCCCACCGGGAGCATCTGAGAAAGCAAGAGTGCGTGCCCCGGCGGCAGCGCGGCCGGTCAGCCTGCCCGAGAGCCACGTCACCTTCTAGCATTAGCTGTTGGTTTGATTTTTTTTTTTTTTCTTTACTGTTTTGTCAGTAAAGGGGTATGTTCTGAGCCTCTACATGAGCCGTTTCCCTGCGGTGCTGCAGAAACCTTTCCTAAGTCAAGGGCTGCCGCAGGGAGCGGGTGATGCAGCCCGTGCAGCATCGTGCGGAGGGCAGCGTGCCCTTCTCCGGTGCTGGGCCAGCACACAGGCATGCAAACCCGTACGTAAGCTTGCTCTTACCTTTCCATAAGAAAATGCTACGTACTTCTAATGCAGAGAAGCAGGTGAGAGAAAGGGTGCAATATGTACGGCAACTCAGACTGAAGCCAGTTGATAAAGTTATTTAACAGATTCAAAGTGTAATGGTGGTGTAATGTGCGGATGCCAGTAGCCGAAAAGCCATCGTTTCCTAACTTTCGGCTGTGGGGCTTGCCGTCTCCATGTGTCTCTCACTTACGTACTGTTGTCTAGTCTCTGTAGTCCCTGTCTAGTGGCTCCCTGAAGTTTCTGCTCTTAATTTTTGTTCTCGGTTTATTTCCTGGGTCTTGGAACTTTTTAATTTTTTTTATTGCTTATGAAAATAATAAACAAAACTCTTTAAGATGAACCAAACTTCAGGTTGTGCTAAGCTGCATCACTTGAGGTTGGATATTTGTGCTCCCTTGTGCTCTCTTATATAGCCCCACTCCATAAGCACATACTGTTTCAATAACAACATTTATCTTTTGCAAAAGGTTTGGCAGGAAGAATATCCTTTTTTTGACGATGGCCGTGCAGACTGGCTTCAGCTTCCTGCAGATCTTCTCCACCAGCTGGGAGATGTTCACTGTGCTCTTTCTCATAGTGGGGATGGGACAGATCTCTAACTACGTTGTGGCCTTCATACTGGGTATGAATATGTCTGCATTAGATTAAATATTTGCTTAATGTACTGTTATTTTTTTTTCCCCCTCTGAACCTGCATCATTTAGACAGTGGTAAATCCTCAGTGGTACAATTCCTAACTGTATGATTTTTTTTTGCTCTTGGGTACTTCAAGCCTATACTTTCTACAGGTTTAGAGAAAAAGATGAGAGCAGGAAACCTCTAAATAAACATCCATTTCCCTCCTCTTTGGAGAAGACGTTCCAGGAAGCGTTGGGGGTTTGTTATCAGAAGCAGCAGGTCTGAGATAGAGAAGGCATTCGGGTTCCTCCCTGCCTCGCCGCCCCTTTGCAGAGGGGTGGGTGCATACCTGGGTGCCAGGCTGCAAAGCCTTGGAGCAAACCAGCGTTTCCAGGCACGGTGAACGTGGGGGGGACCAGAGCGAGGGAGCCGGGTGGGTGTCAGAGCCCCGTGAGCCATAAAGTCATCAGTCTCAGCGCCAAGGTTAGCGATAAAGTCCCTAATATTAGAGGCCAAGGTCTGTTTTGTTTTCTACAGGGAGCGTAGGAAGACAGAGCCAGTGGCCGTGGGGAGGCTGCACGGCTGCAGTCTCTGCCCGGGGACCCCGCGGGGGTGGGGGGACCCCATGGGAAGGGGACCCTGCAGAGTCTCCCACTGGTCACGGGGCTTTCAGGAAAGGCGACTGCATGGTGAATATCGGGGATGGCTTATGCAGGCCTCAGGGGGGAGCCAAGATTTGCAAGAGCTGTCTTTAGAGTGTGCAAATAGATATTTATGTCAGCTTTTAAACCAATGGGGTCAGAATTACAATTTGTAGATTGTAACATCAGCTAGTCCAAATTAAATCCATATTCTAATAGCTAGTGCTGTTCTTTCCTACCCCATGAGGCTTTAACAGGGAAAATTAGAGCAGAAGAGCATGATATGAAATCAGGGCTATGAAAGGGATATGGCATCGTGTCCCCAGGCAGCCGTGGGTCACCACTTGGAGTGGCGGAGGGAGGATTCCGTATGTCAGGCTGTCAGCAGGGAGACCCCTTGCCATCGCTGTTGCCACTGCTCCCTCCGTCCTGGTAGCTAACTCTTGTGTGGAGCCGATGGAGCCGGAGCGAACGCCTGCCGTGGGAAGGCTGGGAGGTACGGCACTGGGTCAGGACTGCTGGCTTGGCTGACAACCCTCTTGGAAGCACGTGGGGTTTGTGTAGCACCGGTCCCTCTGACGGGGCAGGAATCTAGCTCCGTGGCTCCCCCGGGAACATGGGGCACAGATTTGGATGCTGCCCTGGCACTTGGCAGAGGCAAAGCTGGGGGGGAGGGCCCAGAGCACCCCGCTGGCCAGATGTCCCCACTGCTGAGAGGTAGGACTGGGTGTCCCGAAGCAAAGTCAGGTTTGTTTAATTGCACAGCTGCAGTTTGCCGACACTTTATCCCTTGTGTTGTCTCTTCTGCCGTCCTGTTTTCTGCGGAATTGCTGCAGGAGCGGTAACTCCCTGGGAGCAGAGAGTCAGGTGCTTCAGGCACTCGCCGTGCTGCCGATCCCCCATCAGCCTCGAGGCTGTTACTAAGGGCAGGATTTATCTAAAATAATTTAGGCGTTAGCTTCCTAACTTGAGTGAGTCATCAGCCATCCCCATAGGTAAGGAGGGAGGCACTAATGGAGGATGGTCCTTCCCACCCTACACTGTGTAGCCCCAACCTCTGCCCGTGGCAAACCCGGGGGCTTCCAGGAAGCCACACACGTCAGTGGTGCTGGATAGGAGAATATACCCATGGAAAGAAAAAACTCCTTTAGAAAGCCCATCCTGATGATGGGATGTGCTGGAGATGCTTCCCTTGTTTCACCCAACGGTGGTCAGGGCTGTGACACGGGCTCAGGAGGGGAGCAGTGACACCAGCACGTGTAAAGTCCCTGCTGACGCTGGCTGTGCTGCTCCGTCCCCAACCTGGGGGTGTTTGTGGGTTTTTTAAAGCGGCCACCTCAGCACAGGTTTCTCCTGTTGTTCCAGCTTTCAGCACCCGAACCTGCGTTGCCTCCCCACGCGTAGCTCAGACCCTGTTCCAGCTTTCTCAGCCACTCGGACTCTTCCTGCCCTTTGCACTATTGCTGCCCGCCTTCATGGGAATAGTTTCTCTCCTAAGCTGTTGGTGAACTTCTGTATTCATGTAGCTAGCAAACAGGATTGGTTTTTTTAGTCTTGGGTATTTTTTCCACTTTCTCTGCAATATTAAATGTTGGGGGTTTTACTGCACTACATAACCAAAATATACTCTCCAGACTTCCTGAGACCCTCCTGTTTGCTCAGTGTCATTTGCTTTTTAATTGAGTCCAGATGAAGCTGTGGGAGTTACGGCCCTGGCAGTGCTCCTGGTGGAGAGGAGAGGTCTGTAGGTCTGGGGCTGAGACCTCAACAAGAAGTCAGGGGGACCTGAGGGTGCCCATGGATTTTGTTCAGCAGTGGCTAGGTATCTCATTGGAAAGGAAATTAGGTGCTCTTGAAGGCTTACCAAAGGCTCCATTTTTATGACTAGATATGAGGTTAGTGCTAAGCTGTGCATGACACAGTGGTTAGGATGCTTTCATTGACTGCTGTCTGGCTACTGGAGCAGTAGCGTTACTAGAAGATGGCATCTTCCCTGGTTGTGTCCTTCAGCACGGGATGTGCTGGTCCAACATTCCAGCCTTCTGTTCCAAAGAATAAACCTGAAATTTGTTCCCACTCACTGTAAATTCATGTCCTTCCATCCCGAAGCACCCGTGTCAGTCTGCCGTCCACAGCCCTGCTCTCCTCCAGAAGTGCTCAGCATCGAACTGCATGTTAAACCCCAAATGGGTTAAGTGGGGGAGCAGGCTGTGTTCTAGCTGAGCTGTCGGGAAGGCTCCTGAAAGTCTGCCCCCCATTCCCCTGCCTGTCCTTATCTGTCTTGAACAATGCGTTAAGCAAAGCAAACACGAGTCGCTCATTCATCTGAAGGTCCTCGATAATCCCAGCAGCTTTTCTGTACTGGGTGGGTCCGCGCTGTGCTGCAGGTGACCTCCGCTATCGCTGGTGCCGGCACGGCAGGGCAGCACGGCAGCCCAGGCCATAAACCGCTGGGTGGGACAGAAGCAGATCTGCCAGGCAGGGAAAAGGACCAGGGAGCAGTGAAGCTCCTTCAGTTCCTCGAACTCTTTCAGTAGTTTGGCTGGGGTGAATGTACAGTCGTGGGAGCTCAGTATTTTGGAAATGAGGCTAATGGAGATAACTGAAGTACTCTCTGCTCAGTCCTTCCCGCGAGGAGAGGGCATGGCGAGCTGTTCAGTGCAGCTGGAACCTATGGGACTCGCTGCTGCAGGGAAGTACCACGGTGCCAAGCAACATTTGGATTTAAACGTGCATTCAAGTTACTGCCTGCCAGCTGAGCTGCTTGAACTGGTGGGGTGCATGCTCCTAGGCTGACACAGAGGACAAAAAATGGGACATAAACTCTTTCACTTCACGCTCAGCCTGATGCAAGTACGCAGTAGCTGACCAGCCGGCTCGGTCGCATCCCTGCAGCGCTGCCGGTACCGCAGCGGCTCCATGCCTTGCACTCGCATCCACCTCTGACCACTGGTGGGAGCCGGACTGGGCGCTCCGTCAGCCAGTACTGGGATTCCTTCATCCCGGTGTCCTTGGAGCAAACTGCAGAGGTTCACGTTTCACTGTGCACTTCTGTATGGCAGCCTGCATTTTTTGTTCCCAACTCATTTAAACTCCTGGCAGTTGTGAACAAGACAACTTCAGTTAAAGGACACTGTCAGCTGTTTCTCTTTTCCTTTGCCAGCCTTTGCAATAGAAGAGAACTCACTGAACCGTGGTTCTCCAAATCCTCTGCTAGATCTGTGAGCAAATACCAATGGTAATAACATAGGAACTGCATAGATATTGCCATTACAACTATGTTCAGCATTGAAAACAGTTTTGTGTCTGACTGCTGTGGCACTGGAAGCGCTCAAATGGTGCTGATCTCACGGGTGCTTCAGTGGCAGCTCCTGGGGGAGATGCACAACAAAAATCTGGAGGAGCCTCCCACCAGATTAATAGCACCGTGATGATGGTCATCTCTTGGACCATTACTCCTTGACTGTGTCCCTTTAAGTATTGTAAGAAAAACTGCTCTTTTCTAAAACTGTTTAGCTTATTTTTTGGTAAATGCAGTAAAATATTTAGTCATGATTGAACAGAAAGAATTGAAATGCTAATCCAACCTCCCTTGTTTTAAACAGGAACAGAAATTCTTGGCAAATCAGTTCGTATTATATTCTCTACATTAGGAGTTTGCATATTTTTTGCAATTGGCTACATGTTGCTGCCACTGTTTGCTTACTTCATCAGAGACTGGCGGATGCTGCTGCTGGCGCTCACTGTCCCGGGGCTGTTCTGCATCCCGCTCTGGTGGTGAGTCCCCCGTGCCCGAGGCCACGCTCCCTGCCTCCCCTCCCCGCCTGATGCTCTCCCGTGCTGGGTAACGGCAGGGTGTTGGGGGGGTCCCGTTTCTCCTCTTTGGGGTTTTTTTCCCTATTTGATATGTGAGGAGGCTTTGCCTTGAGGTGGGAGTTGGGGGGATTTTTTTGTTTGTTTGGGGTTTTTTGGACAGTTTTAAGTCAACTGCCTGCAGAGCCTTGCTGATACTGGCCGTGTGCTTGAAGCCACTTTTTAACCAGCAGCTTGGGAATTCTGTATTTGACTCCTAACTCTGGACACTGTTAACCATCTCTAGGTTTATCCCTGTAGTACCGCTGGGTGATTCATTCTAACTTTTCTTCCTTGCTATTTTCTTTAAGCCATTTGTAAACGTGGATTCACCTGCTGATTGGTACTAAAACCTGAGTGGAAGGCTGAGCCCGTTCACCCAGCACGCAGCAGCTGGCAGTTTATTGCACTCAACGTCATTAAGCAGTTCATTGCACTAGATGCCAGCAAGCAGAGGCGTTTGCCGGCAAAGCTCACCGGGCCAGCCCTCTCCCACAGGCTCTGCGTGCCAGTAGCTGTGTGGCCTCCCAGGCTTTGCTTTGGCTGTTGGAGCAGGACTTTGATTTGTGAGCTCCTTCGGCCCATAGTAACTCTATCTGGCCAAGCCAAAGGTTGGCTCTTCCTCACCCTGCTCCTCTAAGCCATCCCACGCTGTCTTCTTGGTGGCTGAGTCCATGTTTTCTTTCATTTTTCCATTGCACTCACCTGCCCCTGCTCTAATGCACTGGCGGATGTGTAGCTGTACCCTCACTTGCCCATGGGGACCAAAAAAACAATTTAGGAAAACTGCCGGCTCTTCTCGGCTGGACAGAAGCGTTGAAGAAGGGCAGATATCCTTGTTCTGTGTCTGCCTTGGTCATCTATTGTTTTCTGAAGAGACAGGTGTTTCAAAAATAGGAAGGGAAAGGCAAGGTATCACTCACACTCTTAAAATAAGGATAGTTTACAACAAGGAGTTCCTTCCTTTCATACTAGTCTTAACAGGAAGAAAGGAGTTCCCCAGATATCTTGAAGGAGTTATACCTGTAAGAAAGAGATTAGTATCTTTATAACAGTCAGGTGATGCAGCCCCACTCTTCTGTAGTCTGAAAGACCTTCTGCAGATCTCAGTCTTGTTAGAAGTTTCTGCTGATGGTTGTGGTTTGTTGGTTGCTTGGGGTTTTTTTAATCTTAGTCTTCAAACCAACCCAAACCTTTAAAATGGTTCACCATCTCTGCTATCATCTGATTTTAAAGATAGTCTGATTCTGTTCAAGGGTCAATTTGCTTATTTAACTTGACGTGTTTCAAACTCCTTCGATGCAGTGGCATTTCCCTCTGCACCAAGCAGCTGCTCTTTGGGGAGGCTGGTTTTGGGTGGGAGCCTACTATAGAACAGGCGCTATGAGGCACATGAAACTTGTCCCCACGGCATGGCTTTTGATTCGTGTTTTCAAATGTATTTGGTGGGAATTGACATGCTTTTTAAGAGTATATATCATAAAGCATGCTGAAACTTTCCACAGATAGCACTTCCAGTCTGGGGCTAACGTGGAGGTAGATGGGGATCAAGGTGCACTGGTACGGCTCTGCCGAGGCAGGTTGGGAGTAGGTGGCATTTGGGCATCTGGACCCACCACTTCCACAGGCGATGCGACTTGCACATCCCACTGCTTCGTGCCAGAGTTGCTCTTTTATTCATTCCTCTTCCAAATTCTCCAGAAGGTTCCCAGCATCATCTCTGCAGTCTTGTGTTCTACAGCTTGCCCACAAAGAAGAGCAGTGGAGACAGCTCATCTTGCAGAAAGTCCCATTAGTGGTTGAACGATCTGATATAAATCATCTGACGCGCGAAACCATTGACCTGGCTTTGGGTCAGTCCTTTAGGGGGTTCATCAGAAAAGGAGCGTTGGACCTGCTTTTTCCAAGGAAATAAAAACACTGCTGGCTAAAGGGAGCAAGGTAGCATCTGTTAAGATTAAAGGATTTAGTTAAGGAAAGGTGACATTTTCTGTCCTGTTAATTCACTCAACACGTGCCTGGAATTGATTAGAAAATGTCATCAACTCCGCAAGGGGACACTGTCACTGTCCTCTGCCTGGGAGAGCCTGCCTTAGGGTTGTGGTAAAATTGTGAGGTTTGTATCCAAGATTCCTCTGACACAGAGCCTTTAAATATACCCTGTGCGTATTTAAAGCATTTCCACATTGTGTGCAATTTCCTAAGAATATTTTTGCTCAACGCTGGTTAAGCAACCCCCATCTTTGCTGTCTATCTGGTGACATCTGTGTTTTTTCTGGTGGACGTCAATTATCCCTTAAAAAACAGCCACCCTGGACAAGGGCCCAAGCGTGCATCTACTTCAGCACGAGAATAAACACATCCCATAAATTTGAATTCTCCCACTGATCCCAGTGGGGCAATTCCATGAATTACATTGCCCACATGCTCCTGTGCTGACTGTCTTCTGCTGTAAGCAATCTGTGAGATGAGAGCGTAACTCATACAAACGATACATGTGTTTTTAATAACTTTTTACTTTTGTGAAAACGTTGAGTCATTTCTTCTGAAACTTATTGCAGGATCATTCCTGAATCCCCTCGGTGGCTGATCTCCCAGGGAAGATATAAGGAGGCAGAAGTTATTATCCGAAAGGCTGCAAAAATAAATGGTGTTCCAGCCCCAGCTGTGCTTTTCAACACCGGGGAGGTACGTTCTATACGTCCTGGTACTTTACCTCGCCGGCAGTTTCCCCCTTTGGCTAGTTGACTTGTTGGGAAATGCCAGCAGAGAAATGGTTTGCACCAGCAGCTCTTAGAGGCTGGCAGTGACTGTTGGCATGAGGTAAGTGCTGGGTTAGCGAGTTCAAAATGAGAAGCCAGAGGGGTTTTTTGTTTGGTTTTTTACAGTAAAATTCTCTTCCTCGGCAGTGGTTGGTTGTGGTTTTCAGAGCAAGGTTGACCCAGATTGCTGCATCCTCTGGGCACTGAGAAGACCCAAGGAAGACACGTTTGTCCCCATTTCAGCTTGGCACAATATGAGCGATTTGCAGTTTTAAGAGCAGCCGTTTGCAGGGGGGCTGCACAGGGGACCCTAAGTCGGCACCCGTGCGTGCCAGGGCTGCGTGGAGCCCCAAGGGACTCCTCAGGTCACACAAACCAGCCAAAGCGCCTGAGTGCTACAAGGGCACTTGAAAACCATGATGGTAGCGAAGGCAGTGAAGAACATTCAGCTCTTCTTCAGGCCTGTTTTTTTCTTGTATTTCATATTTATTGGTTAAAAGGAGAAAGCCTAGCACAAACCCAGCGCCCCAGCAAGCCGGGGAGCTGCACGGCCGCGGCGGGACGGCTGGGTCGGGTGCTCATCTCCCCCTCTAGT